AAAAACCTAACGCTGCAGTCAAATTTAAAGACACTCTTTTTTTTTCCCCCTTTTTTTTAAAATTTTTTTTTTTTGGGGGGGGGGGGGGCACCCCCCCCCCCCCCCCCCCCCACACACACACACACAAAGACACTAATACACAGATCCAAGATCAAGTTTCCCTTCAGTCAAGTTCATTTCTCACCAAGGTCCAAGATTTTTAGTATTTTCGATCCAGTGAGGAGTTTTAAAAATGTGAAACAAACAAACGTGAAAATGTTCCTCAGTGCATTGGGTTGTGTTTTCAGGACAGCACATTTCTCTGTTGTACAATTTCTCAGAATGTTTTCTGATATTTTTATGTGGCAGATCTAATCTATGAATGTATTAATTTCCTCTGGTTCTGTTGAATGTTTATTTTGCTTTAATGTAAATTCAGGGCAGGAATGTCAATTATGCGTAAAGTTAATATATGTGTCAATACAATCCTTCAGCTCCAGTCAGGTAGGCCTCGCACGGCCGCAGTCATGAATCAGACACGTCAGACACAACTTCCGATTTGCTGTCAACATTTTCTTGTTTGTTTGGTGTTGCATAAATGCACTTTAATGGTTAGTAGCTCGTACTGGGTGTGAAATGAACCTGAGAAGCAAAGTGTGTTGGCTTCCCACAGCTCGCATTGTAGTTGCTTTGATTGTTCTTTGTTGCTGTGATGTTTGATTTATTTCCTTCTGTCTCAAAGCTATTGATGGAAAGGCATGGATTAAGGAATAAAACAAAAACAATGCAGCTGTTTCCCTTACAGTGGTTCTCAAACTTTTGTGCCTCACCCCTTTGGAGAAATTATGATATTCAAGGACCCACTTGACACAACAAAACTAACACAACGTGAAAGTGACTCAAGCCTAACTACAATTGGAAAAGTATAAAATATAAAAACTTCTGTTTTTCATCATTCTTTCAAATTTGCTTTCAGTCATGTCAAATATGTGACCTAATATGTGACATTTTGGCTCTTCAATACTATTTGGGTTATTTTCTTCAACAATGGATAAATAAATACTGCCATTTGCTAAATAAATAAATAAAAACTGACTGCTCCATCAGCTTCTGATATCTGATCACTTTTTCAGAACTGTAAGCATAACGTGAACCCTGTGGAGAGAACCCTAACAAATAGAATAGAATTAGAATAACAACCTATACATTCACTGAATGTCCAGCTGAGATACATAACAACTGACTGTTCCTTCTCCTCCACACATCAGTGCTACTGCCTCCCTGCCTAGCATGTAGTCCGTGTCACAAAAACACTGGAGAGGAAACATTTCAACATTATTTTTGTTTGCAATTTAAGGTCAATACATTAAAATAATAGTGAAATAAGTGTGAACCCTTGAAATGAAACATAGTCAGTTTGAGAACCACAGCTGGAAGGCTTTAGAGGTATTTTGAATTGATCTCTACAGTTTTCTAAGTTTTTAACAGTTTCTTGTTTTTCCACCTGTTTGGGACTGAAGACAGTATGGGGTGAGAATTGTGGCTAAGGGCTGTACTGGGTGAAGGGTTTGGGACTGTAGACGGTGTGAGGTGAAGGGTTGAGAGTGGGGTGAAGAGGTGGTAATAAAGGCTGTGTGGGATAAATGGTTGAGACTAAAGGTAGTATGTAGTGTGTAACAGAAGGCAATGCAGTGAGGAGTTGAAACTGAAGGCTGGGTGGGTTAACGGAGTTGGGTCTTTAGACAGTACAGGTGGTTTGGATGTCCAGGCATAATAAGGTGAATGATTTTGGACTGAAGGTGGTACATTGTGATGGGTTAGGGACTGAAAGTGTGAGTGGTATGACGGGTGTGGACGGAATGTTGTGTGGGATGAATGTTTGAGACTGAAGATGGTGTGGTGGAAAGGGTTTGGAACTGAAATGGGTACAAAATAAAGGGTTGGGATGGGTAGTACAGGTTAAATGCTTTGGGACTGAAGGCAGCGACGGGTTAAGGGTTTTGGACTGAAGGTTATTAAGAATTAATGGTTTTTAGAGGTGATGTGGGGCAAAGGGTTGGAGACTGAGGGTGTTTCGATTCAAAAGTTTAGTACTGAAGCTGCTGTGGTATAAAGGGTTTATATGGACTCAAAAGAATGGGACTGCAAGTTTTTTTTCATTCAACCTTTATTTAAACAGATAAATCACATTGAGCCTTGAAGACTCATTTACAAGT